TTGGCACAGGACAGAGCAGAGTTTAGGGCTGTTGTACATAGGGTCGCTATGAGTCACAAGCGACTCGACGGCACATAACAACAACAACATTGTGATGTCACCTTTTTAATTTCTTATATCTTCTCACTTCTTATATTTTTTAGTAATCTGTGTTTTCTCTTTTTTTTTCCTTTTATTAAGTTTGCCAATTATTTGTCAATTTTTATTGACCCTTTACAAAAACCAACTCCTGGTCTTCTTGATGATTTCAATTGTTTTTCTGTTTTCTATCACGTTGATTTCCATTCTTGTCCTAATTAATCCCTTTCTTCCAGTGGCTCTGGGATTAGAATGTTGTTATTTTCTATTTGATAGAGATGTTAAGTTAGATCATTGGTTTTTTTTTTCTTTCTTCCTTTTTTATGTGTGTGCTAGTGCTATGAACTATCCTCTGAAGACTGCCTTAATTAGCTTCATACCAGATGTTTTGGCACATTGTATTTTCATTTTCATTTGTTTCAAGGAACTTTTTAAAATTTTATTCTTTATTTCTTTTATAACCCTATTGTCTTCCAGCAGAGAGTTATTTAGTTTCCACATGTGTGGTTTTGTAAGCTTTACCCTCCTTTGGTTAATATATAATTTTGTGATACTGTGGTCTGAGAAGATAGTATCTTTAGCATCATTTCAATTATTTTTGCATGTGTTGACGCTTGCTTTGTGTCCTAATATGTAGTCAATTCTGGACAATTTACCATGTGCACTTAAGAAGAAATGGAATTGAGTTTTAGTTGGATACAGTACTCTGAATACATTCACAGGGTTGAGCTGGCTTATTATATAGTTTAGATCTTCCACATCTTCAATCAATTTCTTTTGAGCTGACCTACCCTTTAGTGCTACTGATATGTTGAAGTCTCCTACCACTATTGTGGTGCTATTTTTCTTTCTTCAAATCTGTTAACTATTGTTTTATGCATTTTGTAGGTCTATCATTTGATGTATAAATGTGGATCAGTGTTGCATCATTTTGATCTATTATGCTTTTCATTCAGTATTTAATGCCCTTCTTTATCTTTAACAGTGATTTTTATTCTGGTCCATTTTATCAGAGATTAGTATCACCACTTCTGCTTTTTGTGGTTGCCATTTGCTTGGTATATTTTTTCCTTATCTTTGATTTTGAATCTGTCTTCGCCTTCATTCTTTAGATGTGTCTCTTGTATGTAACACATGGATGGGCTTTGTTTTTTGTTTTGGGGGTTTTTTTATCCATTCTGCTACTATTTTTGCAGTGATCTTTTTAATGCAACAGCACTTCTGTTTAATTTTTCATTGCCAAAATAGTACAGTGTGTGATTGTCTGATTCAAAGTGGCCAATATTCTAATGACTAGAATGCCAATATTTAGGATTTCTACTTATTTTTTTCAAAGACTTCCAGTTTTCCTATAGTCATACTTC